AACCCTTTCAAGTTTAACAACATCCTGCCTATAGAAGGGTGACCAGAATTGTACGCAGTATTCTAAGTGGTCTCAACACTGTCCTTTACGGCTGCAATATGACATCCCAACCCCTGCACTCTGTTCTGACCAATGAAGGCAAGTGTGCCAAACACTACCTTCTCCACCCTGTCTACCTTCGAATCCACTTCTTGTCAATGCTGCTCATTGTTATGAAAGGCCCATTACGTGAAGCTTTAAGTTATCACTACTAGATTACAGTGTTCCTTTTGTCAGTGCACGGGCCGTTTCTTGTTGCTATCTGGGTTCTTGCTTATTCAATTCATTTTTATAAAAGGATTGTAATTGAAATTTGCAATATTGAAGTGCAGGGCAATAGTTAAATTGTTCCACAATTTGTGGAATTTGTAGCATTATCTCTAAGATTAAAACCTCCAATCTCTTAAATAAAGTGCAATTCGCGTTGCCATTGGTAAAAGCAGTATACAGAGACGAATGGAGATTTTTGAATTTGTTAATGTAGAATTTGGATTAATTTAGGATCAAACATGTTTTACAGTTGTTAACTGCTTGCTGGATAGGATTTCTTCTAATTTAGAGTAATGCATATTCATTAGTACCATGAAGGAAAACTGGAGAGTCGATGGCCTAGTGGTATTATCACCGGACTGTTAATCCAGAGACCCAGATAACATTCTGGGAACCCAGGTTCGAATCCTGCCATGGCAGATGGTGGAATTTGAAATCAATAAATATCTGGAATTAAGAGTTTAATGAAGCCATGAAACCATTGTCGTTTGTCAGAAGAACCTATCTGGTTCACTAAGGTCCTTTAGGGAAGGAAACTGCCATCCTCTCGGAAGAATCAATCACAGTATGGTCGAATTTAAAATACAGATGGAGCGTGAGAAGGTTAAATCCAGTACCTATGTCCTGTGCTTAAGCAAAGGAGACTATGAAGGAATGAGGAAGGAGTTAGCTAAGATAGAATGGGAGCAAAAACTTTATGGTGGGTCAATTGAGGAACAGTGGAGGACTTTCAAAACGATTTTTCACAGTGCTCAGCAGAAGTATATTCCAGTGATAAGGAAGAACTGTAGGAAAAGAGAGAGCCAGCCATGGATGTCTAAGGAAATAAAGGAAAGCATCAGATTGAAAAAACACATACAAAAATGCAAAGAGTAGTGAGAAACTAGTAGACTGGGAAATCTTTAAAGGCCAACAGAAAGCCACAAAAAAAGTTATAAAGAAAAGTAAGATTGAGAGTAAACTAGCTCAGAATATAAAAATAGGCAGCAAAAGTTTCTATAAATATGTAAATCATAAAGTGGCGAAGGTAAACATTGGTCCTTTAGAGGATGAGAAGGCCAATTTAATAATTGGGAATGAGGAAATAGCTGAGACATTAAACAGTTATTTCGTGTCGGTCTTGACAGTGGAAGACACAAATAACATGCCGAAAACTAATAGCAAGAAGGTTATAGCAGGTGAGGACCTAGAAACTATCATTATCACTAAGGAGACAGTGCTGGGCAAGCTAATGGGGCTAAAGGTAGACAAGTCTCCTGGCCCTGATGAAATGCATCCCAGGGTACTAAAAGAGGTGATGGGGGAAATAGCAAATGCACTAGTAATTATTTACCAAAATTCACTGGACTCTGGGGTGGATCCCGCAGATTGGAAAACAGCCAATGTGACGCCACTGTATAAAAAAGGAAGTAGACAAAAAGCAGGTAACTATAGGCCAGTTAGCTTAACTTTAGTGGGGAAAATGCTTGAATCTATCATTAAAGGAAGAAATAGCAAGACATCTGGATATAAATTGTCCCATTGGGAACACCCAGCATGGGTTCATGACGGGTAGGTCATGTTTAACTAATTTGGTGGAATTCTTTGAGGACATTACTTGCATGGTGGACAATGGGGAACCTGTGGATGTGGTGTATCTGGATTTCCAGAAGGCATTTGACAAGGTGCCATATCAAAGGCTGCTACATAAGATAAAGTTGCACGGTATTACAGGTAATTTATTGGCATGGATAGAGGATTGGTTGACCAATAGAAAGCGAAGAGTAGGGGTAAATGGGTGTTTTTCTGGTTGGTGGTCAGTGGCTAGTGGTGTGCCTCAGGGATCAGTGTTGGGACCTCAATTGTTTACAATTTACATAGATGATTTGGAGTTGGGGACTAAATGTGGTGTGTCAAAATTTGCAGATGACACTAAGGTGAGTGGTAGAGAAAAGTGTGCAGAAGACAAAGTCTGCAGAGGGACATAGATAGTCTAAGTGAGTGGGCAAAGGTCTGGCAGATGGAGTACAATGTTGATTAGTGTGAGGTCATCCATTTTGGTAGGAATAACAGCAAACTGGACTGTTTTAAATGGTTAAAAAATTGCAGCACGCTGCTGTGCAAAGGGACTTGGGTGTCCTTGTGCATGAATCGCTAAAGGTGGGATTGCAGGTGCAGCAGGTGTTTAAAAAGGCAAATGGAATTTTGTCTGCCATTGCTAAAGGGATGGAGTTTAAAAACACGGAGGCTATGCTGCAGCTGTATAGGGTCCTGGTGAGGCCACACCTGGAGTACTGTGTGCAGTTTTGGTCTCCTTACTTGAGAAGGGATATACTAGCACTGGAGGGAGTGCAGAGGAGATTTGCTTGGCTGATTCCAGAGTTGAGAGGGTTGGATTATGAGGAGAGACTGAGTAGACTGGGCTTATACTCATTGAAATTCAGAAGAATGAGGGGAGATCTTATAGAAACATAAGATTATGAAGGGAATAGATAAAGTGGAGGCAGGGAGGTTGTTTCTGCTAGCAGGTGAAACTCGGACTAGAGGGCATCGCCTCAAAATAAAGGGAAGCAGATGTAGGACTGAGGTCAGGAGGAACTTCTTCACCCAAAGGGTTATGAATCTGTGGAATTTCCTGCCCAGTGAAGCGGTTGAAGTTACCTCGCTGAATGTTTTTAAGGCAAGGCTAGATAAATTTTTGAACAGTAAAGGAATTAAGAGTTACGGTGAGTGGGCGGGTAAGGGGAGCTGAGTCTCAAAGAACAGCCATGATCTTATTAAATGGCAGGGCAGGCTTGATGGCCTACTCCTGCTCCTAGTTCT